AAAAGTTTTATCAGAGACGAACTTTGCAATCTATATAAAATTTTAATTTGCCACATAGATCATATGGTGCAAGAAGCTTAGAACCGATATCACGTGACTTTCGTGGCCAAAATTCCAGGATATTACAAATTATATGATTGATTAATTATCCAATTAAATTTCACAATTCGGTTACATAGGATTAGGATATGATTGGTCAAATCTAGATTTAGTGTCAGGTTAGCTCTTTTTAGATATTGCAGGGGTAAAATCGTAATTTAGCTAGATCTACATAATTGCGGGTGCAATATAGAAGTTTATTCAAAACAATGGAATTTTAAAGTCAATTATGACGGATAAGTAATGTAATAATGCATGAAAGCAAATAAATAAATAATGATAAGGTTCGATCTGTAAGATCGAACCCATATTTTATTTTTTTGAAATCATTTACGAGTATTGAAATAAGAAGCAAAATACCATAATAAAGCGAGTGCAAAATATAGCACAAACTCTGCGGACTTGGGTCCTATGATATATAGATCCGGAAGCCTTGGTATTTATAAGGCCATAAAGTAGACCTGTCATATATATCTATAAATCTCTAATATTCATAAAGTCATAAAGTTATAAAGTAGACTAGTTTATTTTTTTTTTCTAAGAAAAAACCCCCTCTGATAAATCTTTAAAAAAAAAACACCAAAGACATTATAACAAAATTGTGTAAAGAGATTGCAGCTTTAATTTTTATTAGATTTAACCCATATTAATCATGCCCCTTCAAATAAAAGAAAACGCCATCTTGAAGCTGTGAGAAAATCAAAAGCTAAGCATGCGCGTTTAAAAAAAAATAAGACAATGCATCAATCTAATGATTTATTAGATTATGAATTAGTTGATGAAGAATTTGATGATCATATTTAGGTGAATGAAGAAATCGATGAAAAAACTAATAGTTACTTTGAAGTTTTACTAGCAGCTGCTAGGAATAATAATTCTTAGAAAGTTGCGGGTAGACCTACTTATAATTATGATGATTCTGAAAGAACATTAAGACGAAAAAAAGCTAAACTAAAAAAAGCAGCACAAAATACAAAATCTATTACTTCCTACTTATCTTTAACCAATTCTTTAAGGTTTAATGTTGCTTCGATATCTACTCATAAATTTTAAGCTGCAGATGTAGCAGTGCAATTAATAGAGACAAATTTGGTTGATGAGGCTATAAATACAATAGTGATTAATGAGGATGAAGATACAATAATGGTTGATAATACTGTAGATTCAATAGTTGAATCAGTGGAAATAAATGTGAACGATGATAAAGCCTGTATAAAACGAGCAATTAAAGAATTAGACAATATGTTAGAGAAAGACAGTAAACAAATTGATAAAGGAACTAAGGTTCGTTTACAAGCTGCATTGCAATATTTGCATTTGAGATATCAAGGTTGAACCAAAATAAATTCAAGTGTGACAATTGCTGAGTTATTAGGCTGGGGAGCTTATAAAACAAGGTGTATTCGTATATGGAGTAATGAGTGGTTGAGGTGGCAAAAATTACCAAAAGAAAATCGTGGCAAGCATGTGAAAATAGCAAGCCTTATTGATGATGAAAGAATATCAATAAAGATAAAAAAAAATAAAATAAGTAAATTCTTTTATTTTTAAATACAATTTCTAATTATTAGTAGCTTACCAAAGATTCTATTTTTAAATAGATAATGTCATATTTACGATGCAATAAGTTTAGTGTGAACCCCAAGGTTCTAAAAGAATTTGTAAAAAACAAAGTCTTTCCATCTTTAGGCATTGAAAAAAAACAACTATAAGTGAAAGGACCACATTAGAATAGCTTAAAAAGTTAGGGTAGAGTTATAAGGAATGGAAAAAGGATGTATATATAGATGGGCATAAATAGAAGAACATAGTACGGTACTGATAAGAAGTTTTTTTACCCATGATAGCTGAATTAGAACCTCTCCTTATTGAATATGATGAGAATGATTTAACATTAGTTAAAAAAAATATTCCTCTTAATCAAAAACCGCATTGTATAATAACACATGATGAGACAACATTAGCCACTAATGATGATAAAAAAACTAGATGGGGGCCTGAAGGTTGGTGTTTTTCTGGTTAATTTATTTGGTAAACTTATTTTTAATTATTTATTTATGTTTTTTTCAAATAGGTGAACAAAAATTACATCCAAAGAGACGAGGCAGGTGTATTTATATTAGTGAATTTTTATGTGAACCTTTGGGATGTATTCATTTAACTGTAGAGCAACATTTAGCTCACTCAGAAATTTCAAATAGATACGTTACAGAGACACTTGAAGTTGGTGTAAACCACGATGGTTATTGGAATATTCAGTTGCTTGCTGAACAACTTAAGCGAACAATTGATGTTTTGGAAATTGTACTTCCGGGTACAATTTTTGTATTTGCATTTGATAATAGTTCGAGTCATGGTGCTTTTGTGGAAGATGCATTAGTAGCAAGCAAAATAAATGTAAAATATGGTGGAAAACAACCACGAATGCATTCTGGTCGATTACCTGATAGTATATCTCAAGAAATAATTTTTTCACTTGATTATAAAAATGTGAAAAAAAAGAAGAAAACTGAAGAGAATAAAATGAGTAATGAAAGAAAGAAATATTTGGGATCAACAATTAAGTGGTAAATGTATTAAGTGCTTAGAATATGAAGAAAAGATCTGTTGTAATATGAGGAAGTTAGCAAGACAACCAGATTTTATGGAACAAAAAAATGTTCTTGAAGATATTGTATATAGTCGAGGTCATAAAATTATTTTTTACACTAAATTCTATTCGGAATTAAACTATATCAAGTATTTTTGGGTGCAATAAAAAAATATGCAAGAAGTTATTGCAATTACACATTTCAAGGGTTGTGAAATATTGTACCGGAAGCTCTTGCTTCTGTAGACGTTATAACAATCCGTAAGTTTGCAAGAAGAGCATAGCGATATATGGATGCTTACAAAAAAGGATTGTCACTTGCTGCCACTGAATTTGCTATAAAAAAATATAAGTCACATTGACAGATTCCTGAAAACATTGTCCCTTAATTGTTATTACAAGTCAGTAAAATTGCTCTTAAGTACTTTAAATATTATTTATAATTAAATTTTTTTATTTTTGAAATATAGAT